GACGGAGAGGGCGGAGGCGGAGGCGGAGGAGGCGGGAGGGTGGCGAGCAGCGGTGTCCCGGCGGCGCCTCGACGTCGGCGCTCGCCGGAAGCGAGCGCAGCACCGAGGGCGGCGGCAAGGCGGCGAGCCAAGACGCCAGCTGCGGCGGGATCGGGACCGACGCGGCGGAGGAAGCCCCTCCGCCGCCGCCCTTCTCCTGCGTGCGGTGCTCGACGCCCGTGTACTCTGTGCAGGCGGAGAGCTGCGGCGCCTGCGGACGGGTGCGGGTACGGGTGGAGGGTCCACCGCCGTGGACGCGGCGAGGTCTGGGCAGGGGGGGGAGGGAGGGGGAGGGGGGGGGGGGGAGGGGGGGGGGAAAATGGAGAGTGGAGAGTGGAGAGGGAAGAAGAGAGGGTCGTTGCGCCTTGATCGCGGCAGCCGCCGGCCGGCGCGGCGCGACCGTCCCGCGCCTCGGGGCGCCGCCGGGAGAGGAGAGGGCCGCGACTGCCGCCTCCATCTCGAGCGTCGCCGCGGCCGACGGCGGCGCGGTCCCCTCGTACGAGTGCTCGAGCGCGAGCGCCTGCCGGAAGGCGCGCGCAAGGCTCGGCGACGGCTCGGCGGCGGCTCAGCGAAGGGGGAGGGAAGGACCCTCGCGGCCGGGAGAGGAGCCGGGCGGCATCTCGGCCACATCTCGGGGCCACATCTCGGGGCCGCATCTCGGGGCCGCATCTCGGCTACATCTCGCCGCGAGGGAGCCGGGCGGCAGCTGGCCGCGCGCAAACGCGCCCTTGATGGAGTCCGCCGCGTCGGCCGCCGCTGGCGGGTGCGGCTCGCTGCTCGTTGAGGCGAGCGGCGGCGCGGCGCCAGGCAGCTGGCCCGCCTAACCAGCCCGGCGACGAGTGAGGCAACGCACTCATTCGGCTTGTGGCGGGCTGAACATCTGGCCCGACGCCTGCGCCGCGGCGCCAGCGGGCGGCTCAGCGTCCGCCGCCGCCGCGGCGCGCCGCTTCGCGAGCTCCGCCTGAGACGCGGCCGTCCCGAACTGCGCCTCGACCTGCGCGTAGATTGGCCACAGCTGCGCCGCCTCCGCGGCCGGGAGCAGCAGCAGCCCCCTCTCGAGCAGCTCTCGCCTGCCCACGAGCAAGCCCGCGCCGTGAGGACAGACGCGCCGCCAGAGGCGACCCCGCTCGAGGCGGCGCGCGCAAGTTCGGCAAGTCTGCGCTCGCCCGCAAGTACGATGCGTACGACAGCACCAGCCCCGCGGGCACGCTGCCGCCCTTTGCCTGCGCGCTCGCCTCCGCCTGCGCGACACACGGACGTGTCACGGACGTGTCACGAGTCACGCTCCCCGCCCGCCGCCGCCTTGGCGCCGAATCACTCGGTCCCTCTGGGGGCATCTCTGGTACATCTCGGGCCGTCTCGCTCGCCTTGGCCAGCGCCAGCGCGTACACGCGCCGCCCCGTCTCTGCGGCGGCGGCGCGCTCCTCGCCCAACATATACTCGAGCTGCGCCGCGGCGGCGTACACTGGCCACGGGCTGTGCGCCTAAACCCCAAAGTGAAGGAGAGGCTCGGGGAGGGGGGCGGGGGGCGGCCCTCTCGCGCACTTGCCGCAAAGCAGTGCGCCGGCTGTCGCCGTGCGAGGGCAAAAGCGGCGCGGCCGGCCGCTGCCCCGCGCGCGCGCCTGCGGGACAGGGACGTGTCGTGGACGTGTCGATGCCGCCGCCGCCCCGCGCCAGCCGAAGCGAAGTCCCGATCTCGGGTAGGTCTCGGCTGGGTCTCGCCAGCCGAAACGGAGGCGCGCCACGTGCGCCGCCGCCGACGGCGCCTTTGCGACGAGCGTGTCGAGCAGCGCCGCGGCGTCGTCCATCTTGCCCTGCCGCTCCTCGAAACCTGCGGTCGAGGGGCAGGGGCTGCGAGTCATGCGCAAGCCTTGGGTGCGACCCGAGCACGTGCCTCGACGAGCACGTCTCTCCGCGAGCACGTCTCTCCGCGAGCGCCAGTCGGAGTGCGCGGGACGTGTGGCCTCCGCCTCGACCCCCGCCTCTGGCTCCGCATCTAGGCTTGCGAGCCAGCGAGGCCAAGGTAGAGCAGCGGCTCGCGAGGCAGCGCCGCGAGGCCTCGCCGCCACACCTCGCGCGGCGGCGGCGGCGGTGAGGGCGGCGGCGGCGAAGGCGGCGGCGGCGGCGAGGGCGGCGAGCAGTGAGGGAGTGGCAGAGGGGAGGGCAGCAGCAGCGAGGGGGTGGCGATGTGGCGAGCGCAGCACCTCGCGCGCAGCGGGCGCGTTCCCCTCCCCCTCGAGCCAGCGCGCAGCCTCGTGCCACAGCTGCGGCGCCTACTCGCAGCCGGAGCGGCTCACAAGGTGCGGAGGCTCCTCCCACTCCGTCGGCGCCGAACCAGCTCGCACCCGCCACAGCGCCGCCGCGCCCTGCGCCAGCGCAAAACGCATGCGGGCGGCGAGCTTGGGCGGGTCAAGCCGCTGCGCGTTGGACGCCTCGTACGCCCACAGCTTTCTCCACGCGGCGAGCAGCCGCGGCGTCGCCACGCCGGGAGGAAAGTGCCTGTGGCCGACGGGTTGACTGGTGAATCGAGGTGTGCTTTACGCCGCGGCATCTCCACGCAAGTGGGCGGATGCCCGTGCGCCACGGCGGCAGCGGCGCGCAGCGGCGCGTACAGCGCGAGCCGCTCGCGCGACGCCTGCAGGGAGGCTCCAGGAGACGTCCAAGCCGCGTCCAGGAGGCGCCGGGCAGCGGCAGCGGCTCGCTGCGCTGCACGCCTTGCGGGCGGCGGCCGCCTTTTCGAGCGTGTCGTGCATCATCGCCTTGGCCTGGCTGCCGGAGGTGCGCGTCTCCCACGCCTCGTACTCGCGCAGCAGCCCGTCCAGCCCCGCGGCGCACGAGGTGAGTGCCGCCTGGTATGCCTTTCGCGTCGCAGACAGCTCGGCGGCAGAGACGAGAGCGCCGTCCGCCTCGGCGCCCGCCTCGGCGGCGGCGGTGAGGGAGACGTACTCGGTCCAGAGCGGCCCCGCGCTCGGGTCCGCACCTACCGCCTCGAGCAGCAGCTCCAGCGCCGGCACCAGCTGCGCGCGGGCCGCGCTCCGCTCGAGCTGCGCGACCTTGTGCTCGCGCACAAACTTGAGGAAGAGGTGCCAGAGCGGCAGCTGCGGCAGGCGGAGGAGGCAGAGCTCGAAGACCGCCTCCGCCTGCTCCACCTCGGACGCGCCGAGCTCCGCCTCGGCCCAGCCCATCCACGCCGCACTCGCCTCGGGCATCGCCGTCACCGCCGCCTCAAACACGGGACGGAAGTCGGCGGGCGGCTGGCGGGCCGCCTCGGCGAGGAGGATGCGCCACGCGTCCGTGTCGAGCGGGTCCGCGCGGATGCGCTCCGACATCCGGAGCGCGACGGGAGAGCGCTCCCACCCCATATGCACACATTCACAGCTCCCACCCCATATGCACACACGCTGCGCGTTTTTCTTAATCTCTTTTATTTTCCCTTTACGATGGACTCTTGTGAGGAGTGATTGTGCCGCCGCGCGGGCCCGAGAGATGACATGCGCCCAATTTGGCTATTAATCTGAACGCTCTGTACGTTCTCACATGCGGCGCGCGCGCGCGCGCGCGCGCGCGACGACCCTCTCTCTACTGCCCCGCAGCGCGCGCGGCGTTGTGCGGTGGCGCGCGTGTCACAAGCTGCAGCCGCGCTCGCGCTCGTGCCTCGCCGGCCGGCGGGGCGCTACGGCCCCATTGCCAGCCTCGTCTGCACCAGCGAGTGCGCAACCTGCGTCTGCTGCGGCGTGCCAGAGATGATGAGCCGCCGCTGATCGGTGCCCGGCACGCACTCGGACTCGATCTTGATGGTGGCTCCCGAGGCCTCGCGCAGCTCCTTGATCCCGGCGCCGCCCCGCCCGATCAGCCGTCCCACCAGCTGCACAGGCACCAGCTGCTCGACGCTGCCGCCGCCGGCCGCGACCGCCGCGCCGGCCGGCAGGCCGCCGTACTGCTGCGCCTGGCCGTACTGCTGCTGGCCAAACTGCTGCGCCTGGCCGAACCCCTGCCCCTGGGCCTGCGCGTAGCTCTGCGCGTACCCCTGCTGCCCCGCGTACGGCCCGGCCCCCGCCTGCCCGTACTGCTGCCCGTACGACCCGTAGCCGGCGGCGCCCGGCGCGGTGCCCGCGCGCCCGGCGGCCTGCTGGCCGTAGCCGGGCTGCCCGCCCGACGCGCCGGCCGCGTACTGTGAGCCGAAGGCGTTGCCGTACGACGGCGTGCCGTACGAGCCGGGGTACCCCGGCGGCGGCAGCCCCGAGTTGGGGCCCGGCTGGCAAGCCCACGGCTGCATCCCATAGCTGGCGCCCATGCCGCCGTGGGCGGCGGCGCCGGGGCCCGTCCGCTGGCGCTGGTGCGGCGGCGGGGCCTCCTCCTTGGGCATCTGCGCGAGCTTGCCAATTATCAGCGCGAGCGCGGCGAGCACCGCCTGCCGCACGCCGTTGACGAGCACGACGCGCTCGTTGGTCAGCGTCGCGGCCGCCTCGACCTTGATCATGGCGCCGGACTCCTCTCGCATCTGCATGATGGTGCTGCCCTTCTTGCCGATGATACCCCCCACCTGGTTGTTGCTCAGCAGCAGCTTGAGCGCGTGGGACGGCGGCTCGGTCGGCGCGGCCTCGTCGTAGGCCCCGGACTGCTGCTGCGCCGCGTCGCGCGCCGCCGCGTCGCGCGCCGCCTCCTCGAGCACATCCACGAGGAGCTCGCTGGCGTGGGTGACCTGGCTGGCGGCGCCGGTGATGGAGACGAGCCGCTCCATCTCGCCCGCCACCTGCTCGGCGATCTGAACCTTGCAGCCCGACTGCTCGCGCATCTGCTTGACGCTGCCGCCGCCCTTCCCGATCACCGTGCCCGCATGCATGTTGGACATCCACAGCCGAAGGGCCATCACGTCGGCCGGGCCCGCGCCGGGGGCGACTGACGCGCGCAGGGGAGCGGGGGGGATAGGTGAGGGGCAGACAGCGCCTCAGCCTCCAGGCACGCGCAGAATGGCGCGCAGAGGCCGCCGCGCACCCTCTGGAGACGACTGCGACATCGGCGCCGCGCCCGAGCTAGGCAGGCCGTTGAAGAGGGAGGCCTCGCCCTCGTCCTCCTCCTCGTCGGCGTAAGCGTGGCCCCGCTTCATGTATATGTGTTCAGCGATCTGTGCGGCGCGCGTCGAGGCAAGAAAAGCGGGGCGATATGTTCCCTGTCGTCTTCTAATCCGACGCCCGAGCAGCCGGAATGCGACTAAAGGAATACAGAATACCCCCTGCTCGATGGGAGTCGGCGTGCGAAGCTCGAACCGACCGCATGCCCCGATTCCGTCATTGTCCCTTACAAGCACCCCCCCGCCCCACGCCCTGCGCTCACAAGCAAGCGCGCAGCGCAGCGTCGCGGCCCCGAAATCGAACCTTGCAACGGGCCCTTGCAACGGAATAGGCCGCCGCAAGAAAGAGAACGACTGCGCCGGAGAGGTGGCGAGGGAACTGCAGTAGAGAGTAGTGGGGAAGGCAGCATCGATCGCCATCCAGACCTGGACAGTCACGAAACAATGACAAGACCTAACAAGCATGGTGGGCAGAGGAGCGAGAAAGATAGGATGGATAGGGCGCCTGTTCACAGCATGGTGCAATGGAGGGTGAGCCACGCCGAGGAAGGAGTCCGGAGAAGACAAATCCGATGGAGGACGACACTAGAGCTGACGCAGGCTGTGAGCGGCCCAGATAGGCGCGGCGGCGGCAAGCAAGTGGCGTCGGCGAAGTGAAGAGCGCTTCTGGCTGGGCCACACACTTCACTGACTGACTGGGTGGGAAGGAAGAAGAAAGAAAGCAAGGAAACGAACTTCGCGACTCGCGAGCGAGCGAGCGAGCGAGCGAACGAACGTTGCATGATCGCAAGAGTAACCAAAGAAAGCCTCGACACCGCATTACGTTCCTCTATTCGCCACCTCCGTTCCCCGCCAATACTAGCGGAGCCATAATAAACGGGGAACGTCCTTTCAGGACTACACTGTCGGCCTTGCAGGAAGGGAGAGTTGCCGCACAACCACGACAGCAACGCACGATGATCGCCCTCGCCAGCCTCCCTCTCGCTGCACCGGCACCGGTTTCGCCTGCTGCGTCTGTCAACATGGCCTCGGCGGCGCCTTCTGCCTCCGGGTCGGTTACCCTCCTCGAATGGAACCCGCACTGGAAGACCTCGAAAGACTTCGGCGAACACGTCACGAGCGATATCAAGAACTGGCTGACAGAGTACCATGTGGACTTTGCGACGATCATCGAGTTCACCAACTTGGGGGATACGACCACCGTGGGCGAAAACCACGTGCCGTGGAGCGACGCTAAGTACAAGATGATCGACTTGGGTGCCACGTGCTCGAGTGACAAGACGTCTATCCTATATGACTCCACCAAGTGGACGCCAAGCTCTGATGTCTTGAAGGGCTGCCTCGCAAACAATGACCGCCCCTGGATCGCCACCACTTTCACGGAGTCCGCCAGCAGCAAGGAGATTGTCGTTGTCGGCTCGCACTTTTCGCATACTGCTGGCTGCGAGCAACTTCTCAAGGCTCCTATCGCCAAGCTGGGTGGCGGCAAGGACGGCAGCAAGGGAGTCGTCTTCATGGCGGACACTAACAACGACCGAGCGTACGAGACCTCCAAACTCGCAAACAACATGGGTCTGGGCGACATCGGCGACCTGCAGAAGTCGGACAGCTTCAAGAGCTGCTGCTCAGATAGCGGCATGCCGTATCAATACGATCGCATCATCTCCACGATCGGTGCCAAGGCACCACCTCGTACCCATATGGCAACAAGGGGATGGAGTCGCTGCCTGCTTGGTTCCCGGATACTGACTATCGTGACGAGATGCACCTTCCAGTGGTCCTCACGGTGCAGAATGCGTGAACGCCCTGCGGTTTGCTGGAAATGAGTGACACCAAGTCGTCGGCTTACAATGTTTGCAGCCACGACACGTCTGCAAGCCACGACACGACACGTCTGCAACCGCGATCGTGCGGGGGCGGCCGGGGGAGGGAGGGCAATAGGGGAGATGGCTTTCGTCAGCGCTCAGGGGGCGGAGTGAAGACTGTGAAGTACCATGACATTGTGTTGTCTGTTGATTGCAGGGAGGGAAGGTGTGTCTGCCTGCCTGTCCGTACCTGTGTTTTTACTAAACGCCTGTGTTCACGTTGCGCGCCGAGCGGTCCTCGGGCGAGCCTACCGCCGCCCTGCTGCCTACACTGGGTTGGTTTTTTTAGGCTTGTGTGTTGTGTGCGTGGGTGGGGCGTTGCGCGTTTTGGCAGTCCGCCAGAGAGTCCCACATCGTGCGTGCATCGACCCTTCCTTCATGAGACCTACTGAGATCTCCGAGATGGCCACCAGTGGGTGTGGGACCACAGCCGGGATACAAGTCGCGCATGAGAGAAAAACAACTGCAACCTCACATGACTTCCAACATCCTGCGACCCTGTCCTTCTCCCATCCCTCGTTCTTGAAAATTCCTGTGTGGTGGCGGCGTGCCGGACCGGACCGCCTTTTCTTTCTTTCTTTCCCCGAAGATATGGCAGCCGGCCCAAGCTCCGACGACTTTGCGCCGGTGGCTCCGCCGGCGCCGCTCGAGCGCTGCCGGGAGAAGCTCGCGCACGCCGTCCTCTCCGTGCTCGAGGAGGAGGGCGCGGGCGGCGACGGCGCCTCCTTCTCGCGTCCGTTCGCCCAGCAGCTCGCGGCGCTGGTCTGGGATTGTGCGCCGCCACGCTCAGCGCGCGCGCGCAGCGCCCCTCCGCCGCCGAGTCGCGCCTGTTTCTTCGCTAGGGTCCACCACCTCACTCGCCGTCGACCTCGAGCACTTTTCCCGGCACGCCAAGCGTGCAGGCGTCTCGATTGAGGATGTGCAGCTGGCGGCGCGGCGGAACCCGCAGACCAAAGCCTTGATCGACGCCGAGGCGCGCCGGCTGCGCCTCCAGCGAAAGAGCGAGAAGCGTGGTCGTGAGGCTGCCGGGTGATGTCCGCCTCGGGTTGCGGTGAACTCCGGTGGCGTGGCGCGTGCCCCAGAGGAGAGCCCCACCCACTCAGACTCCTCTCGGGGTCCCGAGCACCCGAGGATGCCGGGCTGGTGTCGGTCACGCTGTGTGAGGATGGCACGAGCCGCGTCTCAAAATCTGCACACGCGTCTCAAAATCTGCACAAGAAAACTACCAAATCACACCCCACTGTATATCACCGCTGCGGTCCGCGGTGGGAGCCGCACGTGCCAAGTCCTGTGGCGGCGGCCGCACCGGCCGCACGGGCTCTCCTCCCTCTCGCCCTCAGCCTCACGGACCCGCACCTCGCCCCCGCCGCCTCCAAACTCGGCGCTGTCCGAGTTGAGGAGCACCCGCGGCGAGGGCGCGGCGGGAGGCGCGCCGCCGCCCTCTGCCGCCGCGCGCGGCCCTGGCGCCCGGCCGAGGCACGGCTCGCGCGTGACAGCGTCGGCACTGCTGTCGTGGCGGAGGTTGAAGGCGAAGAGGGCGCCTGCTCACAGGCTTACCCTCACGGGCTCGGGCGTGGAGAGCGCCGCGCCTCCTTGCGGAGGCCGCGAGGCGAGGGAGGGCGCCGGCGCGGCAAAAGCAGAGCTGCTGGGCGGGGTGGTCCGCGCAGACGTCGCCGCGGGTCGGCGGCGGCGAGGAGAGCCACCGCAGCGACGCCTCGGCGGCGTGCATCGCTCGGTCAAAGGCGAGGAGCTGCGCGTAGCGCAGGCCGGGGTCGTCGGCGAGGAACCTGTGCACAGCTGTCGGCGTGGAAGGGACGCGCCCCTCACACCACCGCGCGGGGCCGACGACGAGCGGAGCGCCAGCGGCGGCGCGCGTGGTGGAAGGAGTGGCCGTTGTCTCCGGTGGGGAGCTCGACCCACTCGGGGTGGCCAAACTCGTTGCCGACAAAGTTGAGGTACGCGTCGGCGGCGAGCGCGTAGGTGAGCAGCCGAGAGACCTTGTGCAGCGCGACGCCGCGTGCCACGGCGGGGCTCGGCGGTGCGCCTGCCGACATGCCGTCGTACATGGCCGCGCCCATCAGGCGAAACGCGAGCGCCTGGTCCCCGACGAGCGACTGGTCGTGGCACTCGGCGTAGGCGAGCCTCCGCTCGTCGCACCTGCAGGGAGGCTCCTGGACGGCTCAAAGAGGAGGCTGCTGGAAGAGCGGCCGTACCGCCGCTCTTTCGCCGTGCGCGCGTGAGCTCGTCCGCAATCTCGCACACGGGGAGGGGCGCGTCGGCGGGCGCGTGCGCCAGCGCCAGCTCGCGGCCCCACAGGTCCGGGATGCCCATCGCCATGCGGTAGTCGAAGCCGGCGCCCCAGGCGTGCGTCGGCGCGCAGAGGCCGGGGTAGCCGGAGCTCTCTTCGGCGACGGTGAGGAGGGGCGGCTGCAGCGCGCGCTTGGCGAGCAGGTTCGCGAGCATCACAAAGGTGAGCCCGCCTGCGGGAGGGGCTCCAGGAGGGCTCGGAGGAGGACTGGAGGAGGGTCGCGAGAGCAGGTAGAACGGGCTCGCCCTCGTCCACGTCGCTCGACGCGCCGAAGAAGGCCTGGCGGGGAGAGGCGGGGCCGTCTTGCGCGGCCGTCTCCTCCCCGCGCTCGAGCAAGTGCGGGCGAGGGGCGGGGAAGGCCTCGCAGCGCGGCGAAGATCTCTCGGCCATCTCTCGGCCATCTCTAGGGCTACATCGCGATGCGACCTCGTAGCGCGCGCCGCAAAAGTGGGCCGGAGAGAGGCCGAGGCAGCGGTGGCGGTACAGGACAGTCGAGGCCGCGTCGAGGCGGAAGCCGTCGAGGCGGTACGCTTCTGCGAAGTGGGCGATGGTGGCGAGGAGGAGACGCAGCACCTGCGGAGGGGTTGAGTGGTCCGACGAGCCGGGAGTCGGGACGTTGAGTCTGTCGAGGACTAGCGCCGCACCTCGGTGCGAGAGTAGTCGAAGAGGCGCGAGCCCCAGCCCGGGTGGTGGCCTGCCTCGCCGGGCAGGAAGTAGGGCCCTCCGCCTGCGTGCTGCGGCAAGCCCTCCCTGCCGGTAGACGACGAGGCCTACTCACAGCCCCTCCTTCCTCTTCCCTCGCACCGCCCCCCTCCCGCCCCTCCCCACCGGCGGACGAGTGCCGAGTGCGCGAGGACCATCTCCCCGAGCACGAGGAGCCCCCTCCCGTGCGCCGCGTCGACGAGCGCCTGCACGCCGCGGTCCGGTGCAAAGTGTCTGGGGCGTGTCTGGGCGAAGGTGCCGACGAGGCGCTCGGCGAGGCGCCTGCAGCTCGCTGGGCGGTCCGAACCGCTCCGCCGGCGCGAGAGGCGAGGTGACCTAGGGTTAGGGTTGGGGTTAGGCTTAGGGTTGGAGCGAGAGGCGAGGTGACCTGGTGAACGGAAGCGGCGACGGTCAGCCGCTGAGGCGACACAAAAGTACCGGCCTGTACCCGAACGAGGGCCGCGCGCAAGCACGGCTCCTCACATCCTCCCGGCTCCTCCCGGCTCCTCTCTGTAATCCTCTTCGCTCCTCTCGGCTCCTCCCGTGCCGACCTGGTACCCGAACGAGGCGTAGTAGCCGTGCTCCTGCAGGCCGAGCAGGGTTAGGGTTAGGGTTAGGGTTAGGGTTAGGGTTTGGGTTAGCATTAGGGTCGGGCGTAGTAGCCGTGCTCCTGCAGGCCGAGCAGCAGCAGCGCCGTGTAGCCGAGCTCTTCGATGCGAGGGAGCAGGTCCGTGCGCAGGTCGGACCAGCGGCCAACCTCCTCCCGCGCGGTGGCGATCCCCACGTGCACCTCGTACACGCGCAGCGAGCCGGGCGGCCGCGACGGGCGGGCGTGCTGCCACGCAAAGCCGCCGAGGCTGCGCGGCACCAGCGCGCAGACCTCGTACGAAGACGGGTCCTGCTGCACCTGCTCGCAGCGGCGGCGCGTCAAGGGCCGCCGCCTCCGCCCGCCCTCCCGCGCCGCACACGTGCCACGCCTCCAGAGCCCAGGCCGGCATCGACACCACCCAGCCTCCTCCTCCCTCCCAGCCTCCTCCCTCGCCGCCGCCCGCGAGCCCTCGCAGCGCAACCTTGAACCTCGCGCCGACGCGGAGCGGCGCGAGCAGCGTCGTGTCATCGTCCCTCACCAAGGCCTCCCACACCCCTCCGCCGACCTCCTCGCACGGGTGCGCCGTCACGTCCCATCCGTTGAAGTCACCGACGAGCGACGCGGCGGCAGCCGAGGGCGCCCACTCGCGAAAGCGCCAGCCGACCGCGTCGCGATGCAGGCCGAAGTGCCGCAGCCCTCGCTCCACGCAGAAGTGCCGCAGCCCTTCCGCGGAGCCCTCAGAGGGATGACACTGGCCGTCACCGCCACCGACGCCACCCTCGGCACAGAGCGAGTCGAGCGCCTCGCGAAAGCGGAGGTGTCGGCGGCGGATCTCAGGCCCAGAGGAGTCTGCCAGCAGCGGGTCGGCGACGATCCAGTCGGGGTAGTCGGAGAGAGCAGCCACGCCGGGTGACGAAGGAATTGGGGGACCGCGACTTGGTCTCTTCTGTACCCGAACGCCAACTCGCTGCCGCGTCTTTTTTTTGCAAAACACTGCAAGGCTGGTACCCCGAGTGTGTGTGTGAGTGAGTGTGTGTGTGTGTGGCAGTAGGTGGGCGAGCTTCAAGCGCGCTCATCTCGATCGTCAAGGCGTCGCTACGCGCGGTCTTCCGCGGGGGGAGCGTCGTCGACGGGTGCGGGACCGAGGCGCAGACAGTGCTGCGGCGATGCCTCCGGCTGCTGCGGCGAGTGGCTTGCTGCTCGCTGCGATGGCGAAGAACTCGTCTCGTCTACACACGCCAAGGGCTTATTTATGCTCTGTCGAGACGTGAGGCGCATGCGCCCAGGAGGGGAGGGCATGCATGCGTAACGACGCTGCTAGAGATGCCTTTCGGGGCCCAGAGATAAAACTTCTGATGCCATGCGTGACCTAGTAGTGTCCCCAGCTATGGGCGTGTCCACGTTGGAGCCAGGTGTGGTGTGGACGCGAGAATAGCTCCGCCGTTCATGGAGGCAACCGATGCGAGTCGACTGGTGTGTGTCGTCGTGGTTTCGTATCAAGAATACTCACTCAGGGGGGAGCTGATCCCATTCAGTAACCAACTCTCAGGGGCAGTAGGTGGGCGAGCTTCAAGCGCGCTCATCTCGATCGTCAAGGCGTCGCTACGCGCGGTCTTCCGCGGGGGGAGCTTCGTCGACGAGTGCGGGACCGCGGCGCAGACAGTGCTGCGGCGATGCCTCCGGCTGTTGCGGCGAGTGGTTTGCTGCTCGCTGCGATGGCGAAGAACTCGTCTCGTCACACGCCAAGGGCTTATGCTCTGTCGAGACGTGAGGCGCCTGCGCCCAGGAGGGGAGGGCATGCATGCGTAACGACGCTGCTAGAGATGCCTTTCGGGGCCCAGAGATAAAACTTCTGATGCCATGCGTGACCTAGTAGTGTCCCCAGCTATGTGCGTGTCCACGTTGGAGCCAGGTGTGGTGTGGATGAATAGCTCCGCCGTTCATGGAGGCAACCGATGCGAGTCGACTGGTGTGTGTCGTCGTGGTTTCGTATCAAGAATACTCACTCACACACACACACACTGGTACCCCGACCAGGTGGCTGGCAAAACAAAGAGACACAAAAAGACACGCAAGGGCACGCTGGAGCCTATGGCAACGCGCGCTCCCATTGCGCGTCGGGGCGCAGCCGCCAGCCCCACACGCGACGAAAATGTCCTTGAAGAGCACCTCGCCCGCCACCTCCTCCGCCAGCACCTTGTCCTTCACCGTCTGCAGCGCCGTCTCCGCGTTGGCCGCCAGCCCGAGGAAGCCCTCCTCGCCCGTCGCCTTGTTCGGCTTAAAGTTGAGCGATCGCTCACTCAGCACGCCAACCAGTCGATGATGAACTCGGCGAGGACGCGCCACATGCGCGGCCCGGATCCCTCGAAGTACGCCTCCCCTCCATAGCGCATGATGAGGTCGTGGAAGCGCGCCCGCCGTACCGCCGCCGCGTCGCTGGCTCGAACTGGTCTCCCCGCCACATGTTCTCGTTGCCCGAGAGCCGAGAGTCGCCCGCCTTGAACCCCGCCTCGGTGCCGTCGGTCGAGTAGAGCTCGTGCGGCGAGTAGCGGTCGTGCGCAGCGAGTAGAATTGAGCACTTGAGCACTGGATAGGGTCGATTCCGCATGGTACGGCTCCCCAGGATCGTCTCGCCCTCCCTCGCCCTGGTGTGCTCATTGGGGGGGGGGGGGTCATAACAAACACGGTACAGGATCGAGGTGCACGCTGCTGAGGGACCCCAGAGGGTAGATCGAGCGGTGTCGTCCCCCCTCCCTCTCCATCATCTCAACAGGGAGACGTCGACGGCGATGGCGGTGTGACCGATCGAGCTACAAGAGGAACTTGTTCAGCAGGATCCGGGACAGGTGTGCACTACCTGTCCCTCTAGTGTCGCTAGTGCCTAGAGAATCCCATCCGTCTTGAACACATGCACATTCACATCTAACAGGCCGTTTTCTGTTAGAAACTAAGAAAGAAAGCGAAAACAGCATCCCGAGGGAGGGATGGGAGGACGGCACGCCGCCACCACAGAAGGATTTTAAGGAGAGGAGTGTGGTGCTAGCCGTCGCCCCCTCTCGGACGTTTGCTTTTGACCTGAGGGAGGGTGTAGAGGATGTAGAGTGTAGAGCGCTGTAGAGCTGTAGAGCTGGAGAGCGCTGTAGAGCTGTAGAGCTCTACATCCACCGCGTGACGAACTGCGTGCGTTGTAGAGCGATGTAGAGGCGCTCTACAACGGTAAAATTTCTACAACAAACTCTACATCATAACCCGCGAAGGAGGCACGGTCGCTCTCCGACATGAGGCGCGTTGCACTTGCCAGTGCTGCCCTGGCCTTCTGTCTGCCCGCCCAATGGGTGGCAGGTGCCTCTGCTGCTGTGGCATGCCTCACGGCTGCGACTGGCCGGCGCCTCGGCGCGTCAGCTCGGCTCGGCGTAGCGATAGTGGCCAGCGCAACTCGCCTGGACTCAACGCTCAGCCAGGAGCTCCCGCACGCGCTGGCGCGAGTCATGGCGCATGCAACGCGCCTGAATGCTCGCCTCGCCTCGCGCAAATGCGACCGTCCTCGCAGCCGACAGTCCACCGCCTGCTAAAGAAGCACAGCGACGAATGCGGCACCGGCGACGCATGGCAGGCTGGTCATGACGCAGTTATAGGGTGTTGTGTGCCGTCAGAGTGACTCTCTGTGTGTCAGGGATAGTCAGGGCCGTCCATCAGAGCTCCGGTAAGCTCGGAGACACCCCATTAGTGCGACTCGACCTCTTTGAGTCACTGCCTTTTCCCGGCGGTGTGGCTGTAGAGCCTCTACAACAAACTCTACAGCAAAATCGCGCTCTACATCGCTCTACATCGGACTCACATCGTCACGCGCCGGATGTAGAGCTCTACAGCTCTACAGCGCTCCAGAGCGCTCTACATCTCTACAGCTCTACAGCGCTCTACACTCTACATCCTCTACACCCTCCCTCAGCTTTTGACCGCGCAAGATATGAAGGGTGGCTAAGGGCTCTGCCCGCAAGGCGCCCGCGTCGCAGACGCGGTACCATTGACAAATCTGCAATATACCCCTCCAACACCTTAAACTTTTAGGCCCTCCAAATTCGGTCGGACCGTAGCGGAGTGGGCCCCGAGTTTGAAAAGGGCGACGGACGCTTGCGTCCTAGCCTCCAACAACGCCTCCCCGGCGCAGAGGGGCCCCTGGAGGGATTCTCAACCGCTCCACGCCACGCCGCTTGCGGCGATCCTATTCCCAGCTCCGCTGAGGGCCCGTGCACTTGGAGCATTTGGAGTGCAGTTATCAACCTCACATCGTGCGTTCTTCTTTTGAGAGCGCCCCCCCCCGGGGCGGGGGGGGGGGGGCTCCCCTGAGGGAGGGTGTCTAGGTCTGTCGGTGTCTAGGACTAGGTCTAGAGAGCAAGAGGGATAGAGGGAGGAAGGGAGGGGGGGGCGTTTCGTTCTAATAAATTGATGAGAGGACTAGCACTCACCGCCCGCACACTGCCGCCCATCCCTCCACGGGCTTCTTGGGTGGAAAGATATGCCACCGTGAACGGGGGCTACCTCACGGGGTTTTCCCCGTCGCACGTGACACAGTCCACAGCATTCTGCTGCTCGCCCCACCCCCCGCACTTCCGAGAGCTCGCGGGCCTCAATGAGTCGAGGGTCCCCGCGGTGTCGGTGCCGTGAGTGCGCCGGCTGCCTGGCTACGGAATGCGGAACCTGCCGCGAGTGCCTTGACCGGCCGCGGCTTGGCGGTAAGGGCATTCGCAAAAAGCTGTGCCGCCGTCGCAAATGCCAAAACCCTCAGCACGCAGGGCGTATCCATGTCGCCGCCGCTCCCGCCGCCGCGGTATCCTCCGCCAGCCCGCTCCCGCTTGACGCAATGCTGCCTCAGCTTCTCCAGCAGGCGCGAGCGCACCTCTTGCGGCTCAGGCGCCTCCCTGCTCCGCGCGGCTGCCTCGTCGCCTCCATCCGGGCGTCCTCCGCTTCCGCCTCCGCTTCCGCCTCCGCCTCCGCCTCCGCCTCCGCCTCCTTCGCCCCTGCCTCCGCCTCCTCGTTTCCGCCCTCGGCCGTCCCCGGCTGCTTCTGCGCCCTCCCAGCCAGCCCGGGCGCCTTCCAGGCCCTCGCTGTCCCTGACGCCGACGCCGCCCCCGGCGGTACGCTCCAGCGCTGGCAGGCAGGTCTGCTCACACCCGTGCGCTCCCCGGGGCCCCTGCACTTTGATGGGGCCGTCGGGCTCGGGACATGCAGAGAGATGGGACTGCGGTGGGCTAGGGACATGGAGAGAGATGGAACTGCGGTGGGATTGCGAGAATATCCCCAGAGCTGCAGACGACCCCCTCCCCCCCTTCCCGCTCCGCCTCTTAGGCCGAGCGGGGTCTCTGCCTCCAGCCGCCGTCGCAGTCGCCGTCTCCGGCACGCGGGGCGGGGAGCCGTGCCGGTTGCCGCTGCGCAGCCGATGGGACGAGCTGCTCGCCCCCGCAACCCGCGAGGGCGGCTCGGAGGAGCATCGAGCCACTGGCTCTGGCGGCGGGCGGCTCGCCGCCGCCGTTCCGCTGGCGGCGGTGCCGCTGCGACGCGAGCTGGCGGGCGGCGGAGCGGCGGCCGCCTTCGCCCCCGCGGCTCCTCCGCCTAGCGCGGCTTCTCTTGCACACGCACTCGAGACTGCAGCCAGCCCCGCGCTCGCCGCGCCGCTGCTCCCCGCGCTCGCCCCGACGCTCGCCCCGACTTTGGCCTCCGACGGCGGCGCGGCCCTCGCCGCTGCATCCTCCGCCGCCGCGCCCGGGCGGGCACGGCGTGCTACCTGGAGGTAGGGTGTGGACGGCGCCTCTTCACGGCACGCGTGCTGTGAGCAGGTGGGGCGCCATCGTCGACGAGTGGGCAAACGAGCCTAGATGCGTATTGTGCACTCCGATTGGCACTCCAAACGACACACATTCGGCGGGTATGCAGCCGTACTCAGCTGCTCTCGTACGGCGCTGTGGATGCTCCAGTCCTGACTGACGCGTTCTATTGAGGTCAGGCAACCGAGTTGGACTTGCTGGAGGGGACCGGTAAGTGCCATGCGGCAGACCCGGCGGCACTGCCCTCGCCGCTCCCCTCGCCGCCGGAGCCTGCCCCTCCACCCAGAGGGAAGAGTTGGATGTCGCGCGCAGCGCCCGCCTCTGGGCCGCCCCCCGCCCCGCCGCACCAGCCGGTGCCGCCGCCGACGCACGCTCTGCCGATGGCGGTGGCGGTGCCGATGGCGGTGCCGATGGCGGTGGCGATGCCGGTGGCGGCGACGCCGGTGGTGCCAGTGGCGACGGTGATGTCGATGCCGATGCCGCCGGTGCCGCCGCCGATGCCGTACTCATGCTCCGTGGGGGCAGGCACCTCGCTGCCCTCCCCAGGGTACATCCCGCCGGCAGACGTCCAGACCGCACCCAGACTGGGGGCCAGCGGCAATGGCTCGTGGCAGCTGCTGGCGCGTGTACCGATCCCGGCCGTCCTCGTCGCCTCGGCCGCCATCCCCGCCCTCCTCACCACCGGGCTGGCCTCCTTTGGCGCGGGCGCTTCGGCGGGCGCGAGCTACGTCACGCTCGCCCTCCTGCTGACGCCACGCACGCGGCGCGCGCTCTCGCGCTCGCCTTGCGGCGCCGTGCTCCGGCAGGCGCTGGCATTCTTGGTCGTGGTCTTTTGGGTCCGCTCCCACTCCGCCTCGTACTACGACCAAGAGCCACGCCCCTCGGTCCCGCTCTGGATTGCGCGGCCCGGCGCCTTCACGCTGCCCTTCTTCGCGGCCGCCTACCTGACCCAGCTCGCTTCGGGCAACGGACGGCTGGCGGGGCACGTCTGGTGCGCCGCTTGCATCCTCATCCCCGCCACGGCTGTCGCGACCATGTTTTTGCGGCCGGCCGCGGCCATCGAGTCGGAGCTCCTCCACCACACGAGCAGCTCGCCACTCAAGTTCGGCGTGACCTTCTCGCTCGGGCTGGTCCACAGTGCACAGCCGCGCAGCACCTCGTTCAAGCTCCTCCTCGCGGCGGCGGCGGTCGCGCTGGGCTCGTCGGTCCTCGCCGTCGCCTACCTCCGCACGGGCGACGGGCGGTGGGTGCGGACCGTCCTCCACCCGGTCGGCTTGCCGTTTGCCCTGCCGGCCCTACTCCCGCACGCGATCGAGGCGGAGTTTCGGCGTGGTGTGACGAGAGCTCTTCAGCGCCTGAGAGGCGCCGGCCGCCGCCGGCACCGCGGCGGCACACATGTACGTTTGCGTCCAGCGCTAGGGGACGCAGCGGCCGTCGTGTCGTCGCCCGCGGAGCCCGCGGCGGCTGATGTGTGAGCCCCCCGTGTATTTCTTTATGCTCGCGACCGTACTCACGTTCTGGGCTACCGGTGGTGCCTCTGAGCTCTGTATACTGTAAACAAGGCCGTGAAGGCGGCGCGAGCGGGGCCTGGCGCCTGCGCTGCAGCACGATGACACAACCCACAGGAATAATTATTTGTGTCGCTAATGTTCGAACGAGCGGTCGTGTCGTGCGCCTCGGGTGTTGGGGAGGTCGTGGGAGCCGCTCAGGACCATTTTGGGGGCGCAATTCGCCTGGTTTCCCTTGAACACGCGGTTTCGCCCCCTCGGGAGCGCCCACCATAATCGCGCGTCCACGCCTGTGGCGACAGTATCGCGTACCTGCGCCAGACTCCACCGCACTAGCTACATAGATCGCCAGCAGTAGGCGTGCTCAGAGCCCGGATTTGGGCCCATTCGCCAAAGGGCTCGAGAATGGCGCCCGGCAGCGTGCAGCTGCAGGCCAGAGGGCGTGAGGTGAGGCCGAATCCGCAGCCGCACGCGCACCGCTGCCCCCAGCGATGATCACGCATGGCGTGGCACGGCGAATACGCCCGCCTGCGAGATGGGAGACAGTCGCGGGGCGTGAGGTCTCAATGTATCGCAGGCTAGGACCGGATACGGCGGCAGCGGGAGAGGGAGGGAAGCGTGAGCGGCGGGCGATGAGAGTGATTTCCCCGATCTCGCTAAAAATGGCCTAGTCCCCTCCCGGGGGACCGGGCGAGCACGCACCTCGCGTCTGAGCGCGAGTCGACGAGTGGTCGCCGAGAGATCGCCGAACCACGTTCGAGTGCGCGCGCACGCAGCACAGCTGCGGGTTGTAACTCGACTGCCGATCGCGCGTGCGGGATGTAAATGCAGCTCGCTGGCGCCAGTGCACGGTGGCAGGGACTGGAGGCTCGACCGAAGGGGAAGAGCAGTCCTCAATCGTCACGTAGAGGTCGCTGGGCTGGATCCATCGAACTGCCACACACCTGGAGCGGAGGCACATCAGGTCTCGCGGCACACTCTCCGACAGATGCATGCCTTTTGAGCAAGCCCACGCGCCTCCACCGTCGCGTAGTACGCCAGCGGCACGCCGGTACGCCTACGAGTCGTGTGCGCTCGGCTGTAATCGGCGTCGAGACTGCCTAGCGCGCACATCGAGAGCGCTGAGTTGCGTTGTCGTGAGGTAACCGGCTCAAAGATGGGGTCCGAGCGGCACCTGAGCGCGTGGGAATGCGTAGTGGGCTTGGAATGAGACGCCTGGCGTGCATCGGGCTCGGACGGTGTCTGTTGTGAGCTCACCGCTCGACGCACAAACCAGGCGCTTTAGGCGCCCGCCAACTGGCCTCACGGTCGAGTGAGCGGAACGCGGCTTGCCGAACAGCAATACACGTGGCCGCACTACTGTAGAGGTACGAACAGGTATGCAGATCGCGGCGCGCCGACTACTGGCACGGCGTCAGAGCCAATATTGACCAAGGGCTCTGCTGGCCTGCCGACTCTCGCCGTCCCTTCGGGCTCACACCACGGCTGGCCATCGCGTGAACAGGGACGTGCCCTTCCGTTTTAAGGCAGTTCGATACCTTCCCCTCGGGACACAAGTCGATATCCGGCTCAAACATACAACCCCGCGGAACGCATAAGCCCCCCGTGCGCTACCTCCGATTCAGCCGTTTCCGCTATTTTCGCCTGGGGGGCTTATTTATGCGTTTCTCGCCAACATAGTAAAGATGTCGAGCCAAGGCTGTTGCCGCCGAGCTCGCCACCCGATTCGCCTTAAAACTGAAGGAGGGAGCGCGGTTTGGAGGTGGCAAGGCACGGCGAGTGCAAACGTACGGCTATTATGACGCGTTTAGGGGCTCCAAAACCTCCTTTTCAGCGGTAAGCGCCACCTGGCACCTCGCGCCGTGCCCCCCAGCCGCGTGTGCGATCGCCCACGGATCCGGGGCGGGGGATAGGAGCCCGAAACGTCCACACAAGTATGCTCGGTGGCTGGTCAGAATGGTTTTTCACGCGTTGTGTCATCGCGCTGCAGCCTGCACCCCTTTGCAGGCAATTACCGAGACGAGCGCTTGGCCTTGGGGAGAACGCCCTGCCATCGACTTCAATGGGCTCTACTTTGATCGCACGGACAACGGCCATTCGTACTACGCCGACACAGACGCGACCATCCACGGTCCCACGACCACCGCCGGTACCTTCGAGTCGAACTGCAAGGTGACCTCAACTGGTCGAATGGCGGCACGTGGATCGGCCTCAGCGCCTGAGGGCCTTCCGACTATCTTGGAGACAAGTCACGACTTCGACCAGAAGTCGGAGTTGCACAGGGGGGTTGTGCGCCGGGCCCTCCTGCTCGGCTCCAGCGAGTAGACAGGTCTTGTCATCAACAGAGTAGAAGGATCTGACCTCGGGGCCGATGTGACCAAGCGCTGGTAGCGTGGTTTTACCTTGACACCCATGGTCTCACAGTGTGCCGGCAGTCGCCGAGCAGTGTCGCTCACACAAGCCGCAGCACAAGTGACTGAGGGCCAGTGAGGGCGAGCCCATCGCTGTCACAACTGTGGCAGCCGCACAGTGGGCTGTGCCATCTGTGCAGAGCGTGTGAGCAGTAGAGGAGCTGCTCTCCAGGCTTCAGGCGCAGAGAGATGCATGCTAGCGAAGGCGCTGTCAAGGTTCGCAGCGCGGCGCAGGTTGAGGGACACTGTCACCGACGAGCGCGTTGGACTTTTCACTCCGGACAAAGACGGCCGCACGCACACGAGCCGCGGTCGTGTAGCCGTCTTAGCGGCGAGGCGCTCACGGTCCACACCCTTTACAACGATTGGAGAGAGCGAGAGGGAGGGGGAGAGAGAGAGAGAGAGAGAGAGAGAGAGAGAGAGAGAGAGAGAGAGAGAGAGAGGAGGGAGGGGCCCTTCAATTCCGTTGCCGTCGACGCTCGCCGACACCGGAAACTCAAGAGAGGCGCCTGAGCCGCTGACGTGGATCGAGTCGTCCTGTATGGAGGCGCAGACGGCGAGGGCTGTGGCCAGCATTGGGAGCGTGCGATAGAGCAGTGTTTGGGGCTCTTGGTGCGTGCCGTCATCAGCGCTGGCGCTAGGATTCCTGTAGAATTCTTAATATTTCATAGGACACTGGCACGACAAGGGCGCAGACTGGCGCGGACTGGCACACACACCGGCTCACCATATAAAGCGTAGAAGGTAAACTGCTGTCACTTCTCTATGAGTTGGACGACCATCGTTGGAGAAGTAAAAAAGAATCTTATCCTCGCCCCAGTAATATATGAGGAGTCGTCTCAGGGCGTTTTGGGGTACATACCCAGTAACAATGTGTAACATACATCACGCACTCCGCGCAGTCCGCATCACTCGCACCGGGCACACACCTCCTCTTCAATAGGCGCCGAGCCTGGCGCACTCGTCGCCAGAGGCCATGCGAGCGACGAGGCTCGCAAAGGTCCACTCCGGCCGCCAGCCGAGCCCCTGCTCCTCGTCCAGCGCGGCGGAGCTGTCGTAGACGCGCGGGACCGCCGCCGGCAGCCGCCAGGCGGCCTGTGCGAAGGCTGCCGCCGCCGCTGGAACGCGCTCCTCGAGGAGCCAAGAGGCGTCTGGTAGTCTCGGCAGGTCCTCCCGCCTCAGGCCGGTCGGCGCGGCGAGAATGAAGACACGGCCAGAGACGGCGGGAAGGCGCTTCAGCGCGCGGAGGTGGCCGTCGACGACGTCCCGCAGGGCCACGCGCCGGCCGAGCAGCTCGTTCGCCTTGTCGTTGGGCAGGCTTAGCCCTGCGGTGGGCTCGCGGAGCTCCTCGGCGAAGAAGCGCGACGGCCTCAGCACCACCACCGGGCACACGGCCTGGCCGAGGCAAAGGCGTTCTGCGGCGAGCTTCGTGCGGCCGTACTTGTTGCGCGGCGGGCCGGTCGGCTCGCGCTCGTCGGCCCAGAAGCACTCCCCGCGCGCCATTGTCTCCTTGGCGGCCTCGGTGACCATTAGCGAGGTCGTCGAGGTGTACACAAACCCCTCGCAGCCAGCCCTGGCCGCCGCGTCGAGCAATAGTTGCGTGCCATGCACGTTGATACGGACAAAGTCGCTTTCGGAGAAAGTGTCGTCGTCCGGGTGGTGCAGCGACGCGGTGTGGAAGATGGCCTTGCAGCCCTGCACCGCACGCTCGACGACCGCCGCATCGGCAACTGAGCCCTGCACGTCGGTCGTGCCCGCCGCAAGCACGTCGAGCCCACGCACGCTGACGCCGACACCACGCAGAACCGTCACCAATGCGGCACCCAGCAGACCGCTGCTGCCCGTGACAAGGATCGGCGATGGGAAGGCGGCCGGTCCGGAGCGTGCATGCACAGCCTCCGCGTGAGCCATCTCCATCGCCTGCGCCAGGACCAAGTCCTCTTCGCATCGCTTCAGCAGCCGTGCGCGTGAAACGCGAGATGCAAGCGCTCCCGCATCGGAGCCACAGCTGCCTTCACTCATGACGAGAGGCCGTGCCCTGACGGCACTGCTGCTGCTGCTGTCACCTCCGGAGCGAGGTGGCATGAAGGTTGCAGCGAGAATTGGCAGGCACTGCCAAGAGAGAGGTGAGAAGAGTGTAATACGAGCGTCATTTTGTACCCACCCCCCCTAGTTCGTGGGGACCCCCCCGCCGGTCGGTGGTCTGCCCCCGAGGTGGACCGGACCCCCCCTCCGGTCGGTCGCTCTCTCGGCGGCGGGAGGTGTGACGACCGACCCCCCCCTCGGTCGGTGTCCTTGCCGTGAGCCCCTCAAACGCTCTCTCTCCCTCCTTCTCGCGAACCGCCACGGGCGCTTCGAAATCGCCGGTTTTCACTATGAAAACTAGTTACGCAGCCAAGCGCCAAGGAGACTTCTTCGCCGAGGCCCGAGCAAGCCCGACCCCACACATGTATGTGGAGCATCTACGCAGTCGCAGGCCTGGTCCTGCTTGCCGTTGCTTTGTACAAGCTCTGGCCGCGCTCAAGCGGCTCGGCAACGCACACTGGGCAAATCGGCCGATTTCCAACCCACTAAATCATCACGGCCCCGTAACACCCTCCGCGCGCGGTCAAAGGGTTCCCAGGGCCGGTCCATGACATGAACCGATAGACACAAGCAAAAAAAACCGCACCTCTAAGCTTCTCGGGCACCCCGAGGCCCATACGGCGCCCCGGCGGGCCCCGGCGGAGGTCCGGCGCGGCGCTCCAAATCCGCACTTCGCGAGCTTCTACGGGAGTTCACGCGGCCTCCCCGCCTCGTGAGGCACACCCCACACCCACCACGAGTCCTGGGGCCGTGGGCGGACCTTTGGCCGCGGCGTCCGGAGCTTTGGTCGTCGAATATCGGCCGCCAACTAGGCCGTCGAGCGAACGTGTCCGGCAGAGGCTCTCGGACGGGTCCGGCAGCGGTGCCATGGACCCAGAAGCTCGCCCCGGCGGAGCACTCACGGCTCGTCCCCCGCCCCTGGCCACCCAGACGTGCCCTTGGACAGCCGTAGGGGCTCGCATGACCACGTTGGCGCCCGCGACGACGCCCTCCCCGACGACGTCGCATTTGGCGCGCTGACTACTCGTACTCGGGCGCGGCGGCGCGGATGATCACGTGGTTTGGGACTCTGAGCGATGGCAGAGGCCTTTATTTGCAAACGAGGACGCCCCGCGAGGCCCCGTTGGCCGGGAGTGGTGAGTGGGACCATAAACAAGCACTATATCCCCTACCGCGACCAGCCCACACACAGCCCAAACCGCTGCCAAACCGGCCCTGGTCACGCAGGCCGGGAGGCTGCCGGGGCGCCCAAACAGTCCCTCATGAACGCCACACGGGCCACCACGGCCCGTCCGGCGGCCCGAGTGCCGCCCCACACCCGCCCGACGCCCTCGGCCAGCCAGCGCCCACTCTGAGAGGCTTCACCGCCGCCAGCGCGCCGAGCGCGCCGCCCTCTCCTCGCGCCACACGGGCCCCTGGCCGCACGCCCGAGAGGCGGCCCATAATTTGAGTCGAGACGCGCCGCCGGCCAGCCAGCAGCTCGCCCGCCACCCGCAGAGTGCCGCCGCCGCCCCCAGCCCGCACTGGAGAGGCTCTCCCGGCCGCTAGCCGCTGTCGCGTCGCCCGGCGGCTGCGCTGGCAGCGTGGCGGTGAGGGCGGTGGGGGAGATGGCGGCGGCGGGCTGCGCGGTGGCGGTGAGGGAGGTGGCGGCGACGGGGGCGGGGGTGACGGTGGCGGCGGGCTCGGTGGCGGCGGCGAGGGCGGCGGCGGCGAGGGCGGCGGCGGTGAGGGCGGAGGGGGAGAGGGCGGGGGAGGGCTCGGCGGTGGCGGAGACGGGGGTGGTGGCGAGGGCGGCGGAGGCGAGGGCGGGGGCGGGCTCGGAGGCGGTGGTGACGGGGGTGGCGGCGAGGGCGGCGGTGGCGAGGGAGGCGGCGGCGATGGCGGGGGCGGGCTTGGGGGCGGAGGGCTGGGCGGTGGTGGTGATGGTGGCGGAGGGCTGGGCGGCCGCGGGGACGGACCGCCGCGAGCGGCGTGGCGTGGAGCGGTTGTGCATCCCTCCGGGGGCCCCTCTGCGCCGGGGAGGCGTTGTTGGAGGCTAGGACGCAAGCGTCCGTCGCCCTTTTCAAACTCGGGGCCCACTCCGCTACGCTCCGACCCGAATTTGGAGGGCCTAAAAGTTTAAGGTGTTGCTGCGCAAAAGGGGTCGGACACCGGGCGCAGCTCATGCTAAGAGCTAGAAGGGGAGCTAGAGAGAACGACTACCCTGTTCCGTTATTGCGTACACCAACACCACAAAACGCTCTCTCTCTCTCCTGTCCTCACTCAGGGGGGTCACAACTACCAAGTCCCTCGACTAGCTGCCACAGGGCGCAGCTGCCACAGGGCGCAGCTGGAGACGCTCCCCCTCAATCGGCATCCACCCCCACCCGCTCCAGCCCCACTTCTGCTGCCGAGAGAGCTGAATCGAAGCAAGCGAGCCATTGCATCTTGGCGTGCTCCTGGAGCGCGGCTTTCTGCGGCCACGAGCACGGCGGAGTCGGCGTCGTAGCGCGCATCGTTCCCGCTCATCGCCCATTCCTCCCACGTGACGTGTGTCGGCCGCGATTCGATGTCGCCACCTTCATCGCCAACGAGGACTCCCTCGACTGCAGGGGGGCTCCGGCGCGGGGAGGGACTCCGCCTGCTGCGCTGGCCGACTGCGCCCTCCTCCTCCATGGGATCGATCCGATTCCGCAGCGGCGGTGCTGCGCGGGAGGCGGCCGCGGGCACGCTGGGCTCGATCAGCGGCTTTCCCCTCAGGTAGCGCGAAAGCACGGATTTGGCGGATTCTTGGCTGCACAAGCTGAAGGCTTGCACGGCCGACATCGCCCAGTTCGTGTGGGGATATATTGCAGATTTGTCAATGGTACCGCGTCTGCGACGCGGGCGCCTTGCGGGCAGAGCCCTTAGGACACCCTTTTATCTTGCGCGGTCAAAATATATTATTTCTCAAAGCCAGTCAGAGCACCGTCCAAAGGCGGGTGCTGTCGACTAATTAAGGGACAATCTTGTCTGTCGGCAGCCGAACTTGTGATGGGACACCCTCGGAATCCAACTGCGTACTACTTGGCTAGCACGCTATTGATTGGCATACCGACGGCTAAGGCCGAAATCGGTTCACACCTGCTCTCGCAGGTGTGAACACAAAGGATTCGCTGTATCTACTCAGCTGCTCCGCTTACACTTACCTGTGAAGTGTGAACAGCGGATTTTGAATCAGCGTTCTCCTTGATTGAACGATATCGGTGTCGAAACACCGCTCTGACAGCGCTCACAGCTGCCCGGGGTTGTGCGTTTATAAAGAAAGAAAGAAAGAAAGAAAGAAAACAGACAAATCCAGACGAGGGATGGGGGAGGAGGAGAGGGTCCCCACCTGCACGAGCAGGATTTTGGAAGGACGATCAGGGGGACAGGTGGGCTCTCCTGCCTGCTCCTGACAAGGGACACGACAGGCTCGCAGCGCGGTGCACGGTGGACCCCCAACTCCACCGGCGGTCTCATCTCAGTCTAGTGACCTGCCTCCAGCTTCCCGCTGGCAGTCTCTCACTACCACAGGCACACTGACACAGGGGTGGCAGGTTATGTGAAGGGTAGTCCCCCCCCATCCCCAGGGCCTCCAGGGCTCGCACCTCAACCTCTCACAGGCCAGCGCACAGCGCCATAGGAGGTATTTTCTTCTCAATAACAAGGCTGTGAAGAACAGCGACCCGCCGCGAATTCTCGCAAGGCGCGAGTCTCAGAAGCAACAGCGCGCGGCGAGACGTGCAGACAGGGTTGCCAAATCTCTCTCAAGGCACGATGGCGGACATTTCGCGCAGCCTGGAGCAGCTCGTCTCCATCTCGGACCAGCGCGTCAAGATTGAGCAGTACAAGACCGCCCTTACCGGCTACCTCTCCGCGCCCGCCGACACAGCCTCGCTGCAGGCCTTTGTCGAGCACGTGGCGGGCGAGGCGGTTCCGCTCTCAGTGTCGCGCGTGGTGCTGCTCGAGCTGGCACAGAAGCTTCCCTCGCTTCCGGCGGCGCAGCGCAAGACGATCGGCCTCCACGTCATCGATCGCACCGCCGCGCGCGCCACGTCATTCGAGGAGGCTGTGAGCACGATCCGAGAGCACATCGCAGGGGTGTACGAGGAGGAGGAGGAGTGGTCCGAGGCGGCGCGGATGCTGAGCGCGATCCCTCTCGACAGCGGGATCCGGCAGCTGAGCAACGACTACAAGGTGGAGAAGTACATCAAGATTGCGATGCTCTTCCTCCAGGCGGAGGATCGGCCTCGCCTCTCGCCTCCTCGCCTCCTCGCCTCCTCGCCTCCTCGCCTCGCCTCCTCGCCTCCTCGCCTCGCCTCCTGGCACCCTCCCTCCCTCCCGCACAGGACGACGAGTCGGTCAACGCAGAGCAGTGCATCAACAAGGCGTCCCTGCTGCTCGATGCCGAGACGACCGACCCGGCGCCAGAAGCCGCTGCAGCACGACTCGGCTCTTCGGCCCTCCCCTCACCCGCCTCCGAGCCTGCCCACAGGCGCTCATGCTGCAGCACAAGGTTTGCTACGCGCGCATCCTCGACGCCAAGCGAAAGTTCCTCGAGGCGCCGCCCCCAGCCACTTCCCAGACGCTTCCAGACACGTCCGGGACGGTTCGCTTTCTGTCTGTCCGCAGGCGGCCACGCGCTTCCACCAGCTGTCGACCATGCAGACCACCGCGTTTGGCGCGCGCCTCGGAGGAGCGAGCGGGCGACGCGCGCTGTGAGCGGCGCCTCTTCACGCGACCTGCCCCTGCGCAGGGTCTCGCTCTATCTCGGAGGAGGACCTCACTACCTCGCTGCAGATGGCCGCCACCTGCGCCATCCTCGCCCCCGCCGGGCCGCAGCGGTCGCGCCTGCTCGGCGCGCGGACAGACTTCCCCACACACACGTCCGTGACACGGACACGTCCCAGATCCGTCCGCGACACGTCCGCGCATGTCCGTGACACGTCCGTGACACATTCGGCGTGCGGCAAACACAGCCGACGCTCTCGCGCCGCCGTGGCGGAGTGCGCAGGGAGGGGAGGGAGGTGCGAGCCGGCCGGTGCCGCGTACTTAGGCACCCTGTACAAGGACGAGCGCGCGCCGCGCCTGCCAAACTACCGCGTGCTCGAGAAGATGTTTATGGACCGGCTGCTGCAGCAGGACGAGGTGGGCGCGTTCGCCGCGACGCTGGCGGAGCACCAGCGCGCGACGCTCGACGACGGATCGACGGTGCCCCCAGGGGGGGGAGGGGGGGGGGAGCACCCGAGATTTGATCGAGACGACCCTAGATCGATCGAGGTCGCCCGATGCCACCCGAGGTCACCCGAGATCCCCCGAGCGGGCTGCTCGGCAGTGGGAAGGGGGGGGGGGGGGGCGCGGGCTGTGCTGTCCGCTCGTCACGCCTCGTGGGGTGGGCCAGGTGCTCGACCGCGCTGTGGTGGAGCACAACATGCGCGCCGTCTCGCGGCTGTACGAAAACATCTCCTTCGAGGAGCTCGGCGCGCTGCTCGGCATCGACGCCGCAAAGGCGAGGGCCTCGCCTGCCTCTCTAACCTCCTCGCCGCTGCCGATCCGTCACGATGCCCGCCCGCCCGCCCGCCCGCCCCCAACCGCCGCTCCCGCCGCCGCAAAGGCGGAGAAGATCGCGTGGGGCATGCTCCTCGACAAGCGGCTCGACGGCTCCATCGACCAGGCGGGGCTGCCCCTCGGGAGGGTCGGCTGGCGGCTGCGCCTCCTCACTCGCGCGTCTCCCGCCCGCAGGTGGACGGCCTGCTGCACTTTGCGCGCGGCGGGTCGGCGGACCACTCGAGCGACAAGCTCGTCGCCTTCGACGTCCAGATCGAGCACATCTGCCGCTCCGTCGAGGCGGTCGCCTCCGCTGTCGCAAAGCGCTACCCGGAGCTCGCTGCGCCGGCGCCAGCTTGAACCAGCCGCCTCCCTCTGTATCGCTCTCTGGACTGTCCGCCCCCGCGTCGAGGATCACACGAGAGCGCCGCTATGGCCGCGCCGCGTGGCTCCACCGGCACGCGGCACCCGGCCACCGCGCCAGCCGCCGGATGTGCGGACCCTGCTGTGTGCTGACTCCGTGACTGCCCATATACTTATACAGCCCGCGCGCCGTGTCAGCGTCGGGGTTCTCCGGACTCCGCACACTCCGGCCCTCTTTTACAGTTCGCGAAAAATGGCATTCTACAGTGGTCTACAGTTTTCCACATATCGGGCGCGGCGCGCTCCGCCTCCGGCGCCTCCGCTCGACTGCTCGCCCCGCGGGACACAGCACACAGGCGCCCTAGCCCGCGCTGATCTCGAGACACTGCGACACCGCAGTCCCTGCTCCGCGCGACGCCCGCGGACCCCCGCCCCGACGCCCGACGCCCGGACCCCCGCCCCCCCATGCCCGCAGCACCTCCCTCAGGCAGCACAACACGTATATACACAGTCAGAGGCTCGGCAAGTTGGGCATACGATTGCCCCCATCGGATAGGCCACAAAGGCCTCCGCGCTCGGCTTCGCCCGGTCGCCTCACAAGTCCCATGTCCCCCCTCCCACTTTCGGCGGGCCGATACGGGCGCCCCACAGCGCTCGGCTCGGCTCGCCCCCTCTCGCCTCTGGCATGTACTACTATACTCCTCTGGCATGCATCCACAGACTGGCACCTGTCGCGCGCCGGTGTGACGGGCGCGCTGCTTCTCCCCCCCCCGCCGCCCAGCGGGGTGGGCGCGCACAAAGCATCTACGGCTTGGCGCGCGGCTGGAAGAGCTCCTCCCAGGTCCGGTTGACGAAGCCGAGCAGCGGCTCTCGTGTGGCAGTCTTGCTGCTGCCGGCAAGGGGCGAGGCGCGCCTGGAGGGGGGGGGGGGGGAGGTGTGGGGAGGTGTGGGGAGGTGTGTGTGTGTGTGTGTGTGTGTGTGTGTGTGTGTGTGTGTGTGTGTGTGTGTGTTTTGGGGGGGGGGAGGGGGGCTCTGCTCTCGGTGTGTGTATGTGAAGGTCCGGGGGGAAGGGGGGGGCGCCGGGGATAGATTTGAACCAGTCCTGGTAAACAAACCCCCTATTTTGGTAGGAGCCGGAACCCTGGTCACAAAAGTCCTCTTGATTTATTTACACCG